TTTTCTATCACTCATTCTCCTGGGCCTCCCAGATCCTCCCCAAGAAGTGCCCAGGGCTGGCTTGGTGCTGCGCTGAGGCAATATTTGTTAGTAAGGCCCTTTCCTCATCTCTTCTGAGCCCCCATTTCCTTCTCTGGACAATGCGGCCTTAGACTAGGTAAGTGCTTTTCAGTTTCTTTTAAAGCCATGTCTCCTTTTAGGAAACAGAAAACTCAAATCTCTCCTCCCATCCCAACCCTTCAGATTTTGATACGTCCTCCAAGGGGTGACATAGCTCTTTGTGGAAAGTTGATGTGATTTTGGTTCTTTCCAGGTGGTGCAGAAAAGACTCCAGAGATTTATTGCAGGGAGGGGGCAGGAGGGGGGGCAATATGTCACACTTTCTAGTGTGAGCACAGAGCACTTGGGTTTAAATACAGCCTCTGACGTGGCCTCTCTCTAATCTTGCACAATGTGATAAACCTTTTTTCTCAGTTTCTTCATGTGTCAAGTTGGGGTGATATTATTTTAGGGTTTTTGTGGAACAATACACACATAAGCCATTTGTGTCTCGGTAGAAACATGACCTGCTAGGGAGTCCGGGGTTTCTTTTTTAAAAAAAGAATCATGTCCATAGCATTCTGTCTATGTGTATTTGAAGTTCCTGGAGGGTGTGGGTTGAGTCTAAAGTCCATCATGGGACAGGTGGCCCTGGATCTGCGGGCCCCAGATTACCCCCTCCCTGTCCTCTTCCTCTCAGTCCAGATGATGTTCCCCATTAGAATTACCCAAGGGTCTTGTGGAAACAGCTTTTAATTTTATTGTTTAACTGGGGAGGGCTGCTGTCATGATCTATGTGGTCAGGTTTTGGTGACCTAAAGGCTATGAAATTGAGGATTCCTACTTAAGAAAAAGAAAACAAAATTATAAATACAAAATTAGACCTAGGGTGGTGGCAGGGGCTCTTGGAATTGGGGACCATTAGCTTTGTTAGCTTCAGGTGCAGTGGCCTCTGGCCACAAGGACCCATCCTTGTGCTCTAAAGTGGGTTCAGTGGGAATGTTTACTGAGTGTATCTCATGGGCTGGGCATTGTCCCATTTGTACTGTGTGTTCCTTATTTGAGACAGTGAGCTCACTTAATCTCAATAGCCTCTTTAAAAAATTAGACTTTTTATTTTGAGATGTAATGTAGATTCCCATGCAGTTGTAAGAGATAATATGGAGAGGGCCTATGGACTCTTTGCCCAATTTTCCTTAATTGTTCCATCTTGCAAAGTTGGGGTACAATTTGTTATTGACTCACTAACCCTTTGAGATTTGTGTTCCTCTCATTTCTGTTCATGATTAAACTAGGGTTTAGAGAAGCACACAGGCCTGCCCACGTCACCCACATGGTTCGTGTAGAGTCGGGTGGAACGTGGGCTTGGGATTTCCAGGCAGTACCATTATGATGGTCTGTGGCAGGGAGCAGCACTCACTTGCTTGTTTATTCATTCATTCAACAAACATTTATTGAGTAAAATCTGTGGGTCAGATGCTTTCATAGGGTTATCTGATTCTTCAGCAGTACTGAGAATCAGGTAATGTTTTCTTTTTTTAATCTGCTCTGAGAAGTTATAACCCCCCAAAGGAAATACAGCTCATAAAGGAGCGATAGTAAATTTGTACAGTCCCCCCTTTTTATGCAGGTGGTACCCTAGGCATTTTACATTTGCAAACTTCTGTAATCCAGATATATTCTTGTGGGGGAAGGATTTTTTTTTAATTGAAGTATAGTCAAGTTTACAGTGTGTCAATTTCACGGTGTTTTTTTGAATTTTGAGTTTTTAAAAAAATTTTTATTTTTTGAGGAGGAGGTAATAAGGTTTATTTACTTAATTCATTTGTTTTTTTAATGGAGGTACTGGGGATTGAACCCAGGACCTCGTGCATGCTAAGTGTGTGCTCTACCACTGATCTGTACCCTCCCCAAGACATGTTTTCTTATCGCCATTATTTTGCAGCTTAGGAGCTCAAGTAGATTGGAGTTCAAATCCAGATCTTCTTGATCCCACTGTGGTTCTTTTCATTATATTCTGCTGGGGGTGGGGAAGCAGTTCCTTTGTTCATTGCTTTATTCAGCATTTTTGAGCACTGA